TTTGCACTTGGGAGAAAATATAAAATCAGCAAACCGGATTTTTGCTAATATAAATGTCTTCTTCAGAAAGTTGAAGAAAATACTACGTGAAAATACATTTATAATTTTTTTTAAACTTGGTTCAAACAGTCTGAAAAGACTTTGATAACTAATTAATATCGCGGTCCAAAAATTGTTTCGGAGGAGCTCAATATGAAGCTTGGTGTTCCTCAAGGTTCGATTCTTGGTACATGTGAATTCTCATCTGTATAAAACGATCTGCATAATTGTGCTGAACATTGAAATTGTAAACAAAATTTCGCTCGAAAAGTATATCAGCTAATTTCTCTATCAGGAAAGGGGGCGTCCATTAATCACGAACGAATTATAATAACGAATTATAGTAACGAATACTATGCATTTATTTTATTTAACACGTTAAACGCCATGCCTAATATAAGAAAAAAATCCACATGAACCCTTGGTGATGTTATTCGAAATTCAGTTAATAATGTATCAAGAACTCAAGAAAAAAAATGCAAAGGCACAATTTTTTATGTCAAACATTTATGTTTATGACTCATATTGCCCTTAAAACTTTTTTTTCTTCTATCAATTTTCTTATATCAGACATGGTTTATATAGAACGTCTTTGCGTCAAATACATAAGACTGACCTGGCAGTTCATGTGTTAAGTTTGGTAATATAAAAATATTATTTAAATTTAAATACAGATAAAAAAACATTTTAGTATAGCATTTATTGAAGTAGTTAGAATATCATCAATTTTAATTATAGCATTTATCTCATTTTTCTAATTTTTGTAATTTTCATAAATTGTACTAATTATTTCAAAAACAAATTAAACGATTCACTTTAATTTTAGCATTTTTTACTTGACAAGGTCATATTTAGCAAAAAACATATTTTTTTATTATTTTGCCTGATTCATAAAGACGTAATCACTTCCAATATAAAGATAAGCCAATTGTTTATAAATTGTTGATAATATAAATAATAATTCATAAATGATAAAGCTTGAATTTTAAATACTAAATAATGCCACTTGTTAAAAATATTTTGAAGTAATAATAAATGTTAAATTTATGACTTTACTTAAAAAAACGTAAACACTTCTTATAAATTTATATAACATTTATAAGTCAATTCTTATAAATGTGGATAATGGATATAATAATTGATAAAATAGTAATGCTTGAATTTGAGATATTAATTACCAAATGATAAATTATTTTTAAATGCTATAGTTCAAAAGTATTATATTTACATGCAGAGGTTGAATTTGATTAGCAGTCGGATTAAGCAAAGTCCCACTCTGCAAAATAGCTCTCTGGTAATATTTTCTAGTCGAGTTGTCCATCATCAGAAAATGGACACTTGCTGCTCCAGCAGATTCTCCAGCTATAGTGATCTTATCTTTGTCTCCACCAAATTTTTCGATATTGTCGTAAACCCATTTTAGTGCCAGTCTCTAAGAAAACAAAAAAAAATAGTAATTTATCCTTGTTGTTTTTTTCTGATATATCAATTACTATTACCTGATCTTTTAGACCCATATTTCCATGGATATCCCATTCAGGCGCTGATAGAAAGCCGAAAACTCCTAATCTATAGTTGATAGTCACCAAAATAATTCCTTCTCTGATTAAATAATCAGGTCCAAAAAAATTATAAGATCCTGATCCTTGATTGAATGCGCCTCCGTGGATCCAAAACATTACAGGATATTTTGTATTGTTCGCAGAATTAACAGTCTCTGGTGTAAATATATTCAGATATAAGCAATCTTCGCTTCCTGAAAAATGTAATAAATCATATTTATTTTAATGGTTTATATTAGAAATTATAATTTTGGTTCTGGCGTGACGCAATTTGGTTTCTGATAAATTCAATTCCGTTGAACAAACTTTTGTCCTTACACGCCTTTGCATTTGTAAGTTTTATTTTATTTATAATAGAAGAAATAATTTAATAATAATTGAAATAAAAAATTAGTAGTAGTAGGGGGAAGTCCCCTAGTGGCGGACACCTAAGGTCATTTATAAATAAATCAAAAAATATTTTACGAAATGTTTATTAAATTATGATTTATATTGGATAACAAAGGTCGAAATCAAACTAAAATAACAAAATCGCAATCTTTGCTAAAAAATAATTAATGCTATCATTCAAACTTTGGTATCAAAAAATATGATTGTAAACAGTGGCACCTAGTACCGGACATTTCAAAATAACCTGTATTGATCACATATGTAGCCATCTCCACACTTTGGAATGTTTTAACATGTGCCTTTGACGAATATTCTTAGATATTGCAAAAAAGTCACTATACATCCACCCTTTTGGCTGGGCCACACCGATGCTCTCGCTTTATTTATACTCGCTTAAATAATACGTATTAAATAGAGTGTCCGGTGCTTGGTGCCGTCCGGCGTTACGGGACTTCCTCTTAGTAGATAAAATTTCTTAATATTCGGCTGCTTAAATTTTACGATTTTCTGATTTTTTATCAATTGTGTTAGACAATATAGATTAACTTGCAATGTCTCAAAAAATTTAAATTAGCAAGTTGGATTTTCTGGCGAAATAATACATTTGTTTTTCGGGAAGTTAACTAATACATAAGTAGTATCATATATCAATATATAAATTTTTTTTATTATATTTTTTACAAATATACGGAATTCCCAAACATGTATTAAACTAATAAGGAAATACCAAAGGCAATAAAGCACGATATTATAATTGGGTGTAGAAGTAATTAATTAATATTCATATGTTTACAAGCAATAATATATAAGACAATAACACAAATATATTTGTATATATATATATATATATATATATATATATATATATCTTTTTATATGCATGTTTTTGATAATTACTAATTCGTGTGGTGTAAAATTTCATGTCTGGAACACACGCCAAGTAAAATTATTATTCAAAAACAAAAACAAAAACAAAAGATAATAAATGCTTATTGTTAGTATATTTTGTGATCAAATTGCATCTTTTGAAATGAGATTAGATCAGGTAACAATGATGTTTTTGATATAATAGTATTATCATTTCGAAGAAGTTTTGACGAACAACATATATAGAGATTAAATAAATTAAAGTGTGTTTACAAATGTACATTTGATATTTTTCAGACATCACTACATATTTTATCTGGATATAAGATTAAAATTTGTATAAAAAATTTAAATTTAAATATCTAACTAATAATTATATTGACAAGATGTTTAAAACAAACTTAAGTTGCTATAAATATGACTCTTGATCTAGTCTTTAGTTGATTATGTGTAGTTTAGGTTTTTTGCCAAAATTTTGTATTTTATTCATTGAACACGAAATGAAAAGTGATTTTTGTTCAATTGTTCAATTTTTTTTCAAATATTCTATTTATTTCTAAATATCTATAATCGTGTTCCAAGTCGTAATATTCAATTTAATTTATTGCGCAATTAAACAAAATTAAAATAGATCTACATAATTAGACATACATGTTTAGAAATCACAATTTGCATCTATTTAAAATTGATTTTCTATTATATTCATGAACATGTGCGAGTATATAATTCATTTGCTTATATTCATATTTTTTATGGATATTTTCAATTTCATTAGTAAATAATTACAAATCATTTGATTCATTTTATCAGACATAATAAATATAAACTCAAGATGTTTTTTATTTGACAAATACACAATTGTGTCTTATATTTCGTTTAATTACACATTGAACTTCAAGTATCTTCTTAAATAATTTTTTTTTTTTAAATTATAAGAAAGCAATTGATGGATAAACAAGTGAATTTGGTAAAGCCAAAACTGCAAAAATTTATTTTCTATCTTTTAAGTTAGTTATTAGTTTTTTAATTATTTACCTGCATAAGAATATATTAGACTTTCCTGGAAACATTTGTCTCCTAAAGTCCGAGCCTGTACGAATCCTGTTTTGGGATTTGATATTGGTTTTGGAGACTGAAATAGAGAATATTATAATTATTTAGTGCAACCTTATTTGTTTAAATTTACTATAATTTTACAATACATATTTGCTAAAATATTGGAAAATACATGTTTCAAAACTTATTCTAATGTGGTCTAGACTGATCGAAATATATCTGAGATATTACTTACGTAAATATTTTACATAATTAATAAATTTAATATGTATGAATAATTGTATTTGAGTATTTGTGCGCCAACACCATCGTAGATATAAATTTTGCGATTTTTAAGAGCCAAGAGCTTACATATAAAATGTTTGAGACGCTCTATATAAAAATTATTACTGATAGAGAATTGGTTTATTTATGAAAATAGATGTAATAATTAAGAATTGAATTGTAGATGTAATTATGTTCTGCATATTAGAATGAAAATATACCAAAACTCATAATTCCCAAATCTGATGCAAACAACAAATCCGAAAAAAAATCTATGGTACTTTAATAGTAAAACATTTTATTGATATTTTTGGCTTATCCGAAGTACTATATTTTGTATAAATTATTACTGATACTGAATTGATATATCTTTGAATAATATAAATGTATATAATTATTTTTCACGTGTGTGAATAAAAATATACGGAAACTTATAATTAACAAATCTATAAGTAAGATATCTAGAAAAAAAGCTCTGGTTCAACGGCATCTATAAATAATAATTAATGGTCAGATACGTGATGGAAAAATTTTTAATGTTTAAATAATTTCCGTTCATATTGTGACAAAAAAGCTAATTTTTGTCGGCTGGTGCAAAGAAGAAGTAGAATTTCAAATTAGTCACTAAGTTTCTTAATTTTTAAATTTCTTAAGTTTAATTCATAATTTAAATTTCTTAAAATTTAAATTTGAAGATTTTTAGGTTTAGATAGAGAATTATTTTTTAGATAGAGACTCTGAAGTTCATTAGATAAGTTCCTTACATTATTTGAACATAGTTAACTCAATTCATCACAATATTTTGTATGAGTTTGAATAATCCAAATGTAGTAATTGTTTGACTTCGAGATATCATTATCTGAAGTTCAAAGGATATAAGGGCAGATGCAAAATATTAGATATAAATATACTCTGGTATAACAGATTTTCATTATAACATTATGAATTACAATCTGCCTCAATGGAAAATAATCAGTATTTAATATGAAACAGTTCAAAAAACTTATTCAAGGAATATTTTATAAGAAATCGAACGCATACAATCTAAAATTTTAAGGACGATTATTGATGTCACATGATTTATTTTTAGGAAAATCGTACATCATGGTCTCAACATCCTACTTGTATTGGATGCCTTAAAGATTTTAAATATTAAGCAAAAATTTAGTTAATATTCCGTCTAAAAACATATTTAACAAAAACAACCTATAGACTTTTTATATAAATTGTTTTCTTGGTTCAATTGCTCTTCGAAGCAATTCTTACCAATTCTTCGTTTAGTTTTTATTTATGTTTAATTTAATTTTTTAACTTATAGAGATGTCAATTGACTCATTGAGTAAAATGAGATTAACAAAAACAACATATAGACTTTTTGTAAAAAATAGTTTTCTTAGCTCATTTGCTCATTGGAGCAATTTTTACCAATTCTTTGTTTAATTTCTATTTATGTTTATTCTAATTGTAGAACTTATAGAGATGTATAATAATTACTCTGATTGTTTCTATAATATTGAACAAAAATAGTAATTTTATTTTAATTAGTTGGTTCTTCTTGATCGCCAATACTTTTGAAGTTAAATAATAATAAAATAAAATTGAAGTAAATAATAAAATATTCAATAATTTCGGTAGAGTTTAAAGAAGTTAAATAATTAGTGATATTTCATTCATTTATCAACAAAATCAACTCTAATTAAAGCAATTGGTGTAATTAACACGTTGATTGCCACGATAATATCAAAAAAAATCACAAGGTAACATTATAAGAAAATTTACAATTAATTAAAAATGTTTCAAGAAAACTTAAACTTTTTCACTCGCGAATTGCATTTACATGTATTTTGCCGCAAGAGCGACGGCATCCGAGTGGAAAGGGATAATTTATCAAGGAAAAAAAAGCCAAAATTATTGAAAAAAACACTGTTATATCTCACTGACATTGCCCTATATTAAATTTTTTATTTGCGAATTTCAGACATTTATATCAGACATGGTCCCTGTAGAACTTCTTAGCGTCAGACACATATGACTGACAATTTTATAAATCTAGTTTAATATTAATATATATTTTACAATACTTTTATAATATGTTTTGATTGCGTTTACAGCCTGATTATCACATTAAACATAATTAATTTCGATTGCGACTTCTACTTATGAAAGAAATACTTGTGACAATTCGAGCGGCAAAAATCATATAACCTTCCTTTAATTTATCACTAATTAATATGTAAGAGATCTCTAAATTCGATAAATGTTGTAAATAAATAAACTTAATTTTTCATCTATTTTCATAACAAGAGTTAAAATCGCATTTGAAGGCAATAATAGAGAATGAGAATTTTTTAATTTTTAAAAGATTCTCAGATTTTTGAAAAAAATCAAATTTTTTTTTAATTTAAAAATTTTTATTTTTGAAAATGATGAAACTTTAAATTCTGAAAATTTAGATTTTTTTTTGACAATTTTCAAAATTACTAAATTTTCTGTAAATGCATTTTTTGCACACCATCAAAATGTTTTTTGAATTTTCTAATCGGATAATTCGTCGAATATTTTTTTAATCATTCAACTCGGTTATTCCATACTGTCGAAAATGTCGGAGACATTTGTTTGAACTATGTACCTGAATTTTAAAATTAAAAATCTTGGTACGGAACCCAAAAAAGTTTACGCAAAATGCGTACACATTATAAAAAATCTCTATAAAATATCTGATAATTTGATGTATATATGACCAATAATATTAATTTTATAAATACAAGCTTGGAAGTATTGAATTATTAAATTCAAAAATGTAGATTAGAAAACATCTATTAATTAACCATCATATTCATAATGAGAAATCATCGATATGAATAATTCAACAAATTTGTAGAAACGAATTTTTGCTCAAATTATTATTTGGTTAAAAATTATTGAAAAAACACAAAATTTGTGGTTTGATTTTATTTCATCAAAAAACATAATTTTTTAAATATTTTGTATTTTGAAACTGATTTTTTCCTACAGTATTACTTATTGTTTATTTCAGGACAGGTGTAAAAATTACTATATAATAAAAAAAAATTAAAGAAATTGGTCGAGGTAATCATAGTAAATTTAAATACCTAGATCTGCTATCCTGATTATACTGATTGCATATCCGGAAAATTTAATAAATATTTATTAAAAAAATATTTCTATTATTAATGACTATATTATTGCAAATGATATATTATTACTCAGCCTGTCTAACGATCCGTTACAAGAATGATAATTTTCATTCGACAGTTATGAAAGGTTGATGAACCATGAATTTCACAGTCAATTTCATATACTATTTACTTCAAATAACAATCATTATTATTATTTTCTTACCTGAAATCGTAATGGTCCAATAGGCGGTTCGGCATAAGGAATTCCCAAATAAGAACAATATACATCATTCCTATGATCTTTATATCGGAACGGTTTTCCTTCCGTGATCCCGTTAAATTGAACTCTGCACAAATGCTGATCTAGGTTATCCCATAGTATGCACAAGATAGGTGTAAATAAGAAAAATAAAAAAAATAAAAATAAAATTAATGCACTGTGAGGTAACATTTTTATGTTGTTTTTAATGCATTTTGAATGCTTAATTGTTATTATTTATGTCTTTTTGTTTATGATAAAATAGACGTTTTGAAGACGACATGTCTATCGTATCAACGTTCTCGTTGAAGTGTGCCGCTTCAAACATTTCCTATTCGTTATTAGAAAGTGTGCGGATTCCCCCGTGAATTTCACATGAGACTAAGGTCAAGATTATTATTATTTGCGCCTGATAATAAGATTTCTGAAATTATATGTTGGTTCTAGATTGAAGGCAAAGTTGGCGCAAATTGTGTGGTTTTGTATCCACATCTTTTTACACCATCCCCAGAGCCGAATAAAACTCTTGTTTGTCCTATTAACTACTTCTTCAATTTGTTAGTTTTTTACATTATATAAGAGAAATTATTACTTGCATTTATACCAATCCAATAGATTTTTATATTTAGATTACTTTTTACTTTCGTACATACGTGAAGTTGGGTTTTATGTGTCAAACGCCTGATTGCACAGCAAATACATAGCTTTTTGATATTTCGTTTACTAATACGATTATAGGCCCGCAAAATAGCATTGTCACAACATTTCTATTTTATCGGAAAATTGACCTTCAAATCAATATAATGAATTTAGATATCATAACCTTGTTCTGATGCAGGATGAAGCATGTAAAAATGATTTTAAGATAAATATTAAATTAGAAAAATATTAATTTCATAATGAAATTATCGGTAATGGCAATTTTTTATATTTTTTTCATAAACCGGATTATTTAACTCAATAGGTATATTAAATGTTTGTTTTTTTTACTTAGATGGATTAAAACTATTGTCAACGTTTAATAAGCTGTTGTGATGTATTTTTTGCTACAAGGCTTTATTAATAGCCAACCGAATGGCTATCCTTTTTCATTTTAGTTTGTTAATGATCAGATATGAGGTAAAACTTTTTTGCTTTAATTATGGAATGACATTGACTATTTTTAAAGCGTTTGCTAATTATACATTTATTATGATAGTTTATTTGAGTCAATACAACATAGATAAGTTGTGTGAAGTATTGAATTGTTTTATTTTTTTTCTTTTAACTTGCGTTTTTCTTCTAAATCTAGTATGTATCTATGATACTCCGCATGAAGTTCATTCCAAGGTTCCATTCGCTGTTGCTCCTCGAAATTTTTCATGTTAAAACCTTCGTTGGCCATATCTAGGTATTTAGGGTCCTTTATATTGAACGGATTCCATGTAATTTCACTTATGTCACCATAAGGTGGTTTTGGACGTTTTTTTCTCTGAGATCCAAGATTTCAATGGATCACTGAAATAATTGATATAACTTACATGAATTTAGAAATACGATTTACTAATACGATTTAACTAAACTAAATATAAAACTATTCGATACGCAACACCTTCATATTATGTAAATAAACTAACTTTTACAAATATCATGAAATAGATTTAAACATATTATATGAACCAAAATAGCCTGTACCTGTTATGATGCAGTTTCTTTAATAATGAATTGACAAAATATATATCTATTCATTGACTTTTTTTTTTGGCTTCCAAATGATTCTTCTAATATAGGCAATAATTTTGGTTGAAGTAAACCTAGCAGCTTAAACTTACCCAGTTTTAGCAAAGTTCGTCCACAACGTAATCATCTTCTTATGAGTCTCTTGAGCTTCTTTTGGAATTTCAGAATAAATTCTCAATGTATACCAGCCTATGTTATATTCTTGTGACATTGCGAATAAATAACCTAAATCATCAGTGTGACTTACGCCTGATAATTTCATGCAACTTTTAGATATAAAATTTTTAAAGATGCTATATGAATCATCCGATAATCTGTAAAATACGTTTTTGATGTTCTTTCTTTATTATAATGAATTGCTCTCATCGAGTAGTAAAGACCGTGAAGGAACCATGAGTCTCCCATAAATTGAATATAGGCTTCGGTTTCACTTACATTTGTAGACACTTTGTTATAAAAGTCAGATAAATTTGTAACAGTCTCATTCATCCAAGTTTCATTAAAAGTTTTATAAAGAAGTAATGGGATAAGATAACGAATATTTTGTAACGTCGCTTGTATTTCATTACTTATTTTATTTACTCTGTCCAAAGCAATAAGACCTTCGCGATCATTGAAGCCCCACATTGTATCTTTATCGGAAATTTACCCAACCACATGTCTTTGACAAAATCTCGAATTGAATCTTCACGTTTTTCCCATGTCATATATGTTTGGAATATGGGATTAAATACAGGGTTGGTGCCATGTATATTATCTACTTCATTTGGAACTTTGTCCACAGCAGCCGTCACTAATTTTTTAGCTTCAATGGTGTTTTTATTGTCTTTACTGAGATTGGTTAGGTTTTGCAGGTCTCTGAATCTCTGAAATCATAATCATATTTTTTCTATCATATATTTTTTCAATTTTACGGATTTCATAGTTCATAAGTCTATTGTAATGGTTTTGTTTTTTTTTATAAAAATAATAACAAGTGCTAAATGTTATTTAAAATATGATAATAAATCATTGCACCCTTTGACATAATGTCGAAGATAAAAATTGAAGTAAAGAACTTAACGAAATATATCTCTGATTATTGTTCTAATCAAGGATTGTTGAAAAATAATGCTGGCACATGGATACTATAATTTAACCCTCCGTCGGTCGGATATTTTTGCTCCTTCAAACGGTCGGAAGGTCTGGCTGGACCACCATTCATTTTACATACATTTATATGGGATAAATGAGTTTTCGGGTGTCTTATGTATTAACGATTATATAAAAAAAATCAAGAAATGTGAAAAAATCGTTGCTTTTTTGTTAATTTTTCTGTTTAAATAAATGAAAAACAATATTTATTCTTTTTCGGCGCCTTTGAAATGAATGTGTGCATTACTCATCCGATTTTCAGTGTTTGCGATTACCAATAAGTTTGGTAGGTTTTCAAAGAACTCTCGTCATGAAAATACTAACATTCATGTTAGAACACATAGCAAAGAATATAAACAACGCAGTTTGAATAGAAAATACCATGAAAATAGACGAAATACTGGTTTACATATATCAAAAAGCGTATATTTCATACAAAATGTATGGGTGGTCTAGACAGACCTTTCCGACCGTTCGAAGTATAAAAAAGTTAATATCCTTATAATTATCCTTCTGTAATTTTTTTTGTTCTGATTTATTTATTGATCGACAGCTAATGAAATTTTAGGAAAAGTCAAGAAATTTCAAGTCGATAGGATTACTAGAAGTATTTTTTTTTTTTTTAATTGAAGTCGAAAAAAGTCTGGCCAGACCACGCCGACCGACGGAGGGTTAATGTAGGTTTCACATTTTACATACCTGGGTTGTGTTGAACTGCCTTGCCCATGGATTGAGAAGGCTTCCACTTTGCAAAATAGCTCTTTGATACAGTTTTTCAGTTGAATTGTCCATCATCAAATAGTGAACACTAGCCGCACCTGCAGATTCTCCAAAGATGGTGATTCTGTTTTTATCTCCTCCGAAAGCTTCAATGTTTTCATTCACCCATTTTAGTGCCATTATCTATACCACAGTACCACAATAAATTTTCATGATTAATATGTCTCACACCAAAATTGAAAAACGTTTATGTATGTATAATGTTATGTAAGCCAAAATTTAAAATCAATTAGATAAAACAGGTAAAGGACTTTCGTTGATAATTATTGCCTAATGCGACGAGCCGCACAAAATCTTTATATTTAGCAGATCAGTACAAAAATTATTTGAAAAAGTTACCTGATCTTGCAAGCCCATATTTCCCTTGATGCCCCAATCAGGATTTGATAAAAATCCAAGAACTCCCAATCTATAGTTGAAGGTGACTAATATGACTCCTTGTCTAACCAAGTAATCTGGTCCATATAAATTATAATCCCCTGATCCAGTATTGAAAGATCCTCCATGAATCCAAAACATTACAGGATACTTTTTTCTGCATTGCTTCTGTTTTTTCTTTAAATGGAATGGAGTATAGACGTTTAGAAATAGACAATCTTCACTTCCTAAAAAATAAATGACAAAATTCTCATAAAACACATGCTACAAAATTAACTGTGTAGTTGATAGATTACAATATTTATATCTATACCAATATTTTATTTTATTTTAGAAAAATATTTGCAAAATTATTTTTATGCTGGTTTTACTGGAACAGAGTTTAGTAACTTTATTGCCAAATGATCAATCATTAACAAATTTTGGAATATGAAAGTAGTATGAAAAAAGACTACATATGAATAGTTCTGTAACAATTAGTAATTTGTGTCCAATATTGATCCTGCTTTTCAACCTTTTCATTTTTTGTCATCTTGCTATTTAAGAATATTCCACGATATTTCTGGTTGTATGAGTTTTTTTTTTCAGATTTTAATATGCATAAAAAATATAAATATCTAAATAATACTTAATTACCTTCTATAACTCCATTACTTTTTTGCATACACATACTTCCTAAATGCTTGTAATGTCTTTTGAGTCTATCTTTATATTCTTGAGGAGCCTGAAAATGCAATTTACGTACTTTTTTCGTAAAATATTTTATTAATTATTATAATCGTATATCAAATTATATTACCAAAAATCTGCGATGTCCAGTAGGCGGTTTCGCATATGGTATGCCCATATAGGCACAATAATGGTGACCATGATCATGAACATATGTTCTATATTTTCCTTCAATAACCCTATGCCGAACAGCTACATTACATTTATAATCATTCCAACCTTGTCCTTTATATTCAAGGGCCCATTTAAGCCCTTCAACTGAATACAATATTGAACATAGTAGTAAAACTTGGTACAGTTCCATGACTATATTACGTATCTTAGTTCTACATTTCAAGTAGTCAGTTATTCATGAAAAATGCAGTTTAGACATTATATATTGCACAATATTTGTATTTACTTATTATTTTACGTGGTAATAAATTGCGCAAAATGATCACCGTCATATTGATTTTTTTGAAAAACAAGTACCAGATGTTTTTGACTGTAATTTATACAATATAGAAGTATCAGATGCATTTTGTAAATGTTTTGTACAGGGTTTTGGTTTTGGCAGAATGAACTGTGTTATTATATGTGCTTTTATATTTTTATTTCTTACTTCATTTTATTATTTACTTTAGTTTTTTAATTTTTGTTACTTATTATGTATATTTTATACTCTATTTGATTGTTCTTTATACTACCTAAGCAAACATATTTTGTATTATAAGACTCTTTATAAGTCTTGATTGACAAAATGATGAATAAGAATTAAAAAAATATGTTCTTTATACTGATAATATTTCTTGAAATGTTTTCTCAATGAAAGGTTTTGTTCGACTTAAGTAATATTCTTTCATGAAAAACAACTTGAAAAGGCTTAATAAAAGTTACAATTTTTTTTTGTTAAGGACTTTAGTTAAAACTCAAAATCTTTTGTTTGAATAACAATATTGTATAGCATACGATCATAACTGCACATATTCCCACGTGTAATGAAATGCATATAGTTATATCAATTTAATTTTATAATTTATTAGAACTATTGCAAAATAAAAAAAATATATTTGTTCAAAAAAACTATTGCATTCGTTAAACTAATTTAATAAATACTTGTTTAATTTTCACTTGAGATTTGTTTATCTATCTAGATTTCATTATTTTTACAATTGCGTAAATTCCATATCACAATTTATCAATCTGTGGTTTTAACTGCTTCAAACTTCAAAAATTTGCAGTTTGAAGCCTTGATCTTTTTTTTTTGAATTTTAAAAACTCATAAATTCTGCAAAAGAGAAACATATTGTCACTAATGTCAGGAGATCTTCCATATTAATGTAATATATTGTATAAGAAGTTTTCTTAACTTTTTTTTAATTTTTTATCAAAAAAATTGAGTTTTCATGCTCGTACATACTTTTCATGGTATTTAATACTCATAAATAAAATATCAGGCGAATTTAATTGCGAAATTATATTTCCGTTTCACATTTAGTTCCTTTTTGCAATAACAGAATATTTTGTGAATTATATCGTGTTAGATATTATGGAGAATAATATCACATTTTTTTATTTTAACAGAATTTTCAAAATTTTCTGGAAATGGCACAAATAGGTGAATTTATCAAATTCTCTGTGAGATGCTATAGATTTTTTAATATTTCGAAC